AGCAGCCTGTCCTATCTCCCTGAGGAGCCTTCCTCTGGTCAGTGCTGCACAGCCAGGGAGCGCCCTTCTCCCAGTCCTTGCATAACAGCTGCTGAAATGATCTCAGAGCTGGTGCTCTCGTGGTTAGCTGACATACGAATTGATAGTTCCTGGCTCCAGAATACGTTTCTGTTGGGTCAGTTTTCTTGTCTCTTTAGAATTGAGGGTTGCCACTCAGGACTAACTTCTCCTAGTCAGTCAAAGCAAGTGAGACATTGGCTCATCCAAGTGTTAGCAAGCAAGTTGGGGATGGGGAGTCAGCTATTGACTGGACTTCAGGTGGCAGAGAGGTCTGGAAGAGGCTGTTACTATTGCCCCACGTGGCGTCACCTGGCTTGGGAATCAAGATTAAGGGATCATCTACAGGACCACACATCCACAGAGGGCTTACAGACTTAAAGACTGTCCAAGCCTCTGTGCTGATTCACTTTCTGTCCTATGCATTCATCAAAAAAGAGCAGGCTTTGCATTTTCTGTATAAATTTAGGTCACTCAAAAGGAGAAAGGCTCCTGGAAACCAGCTGATAGCATTGAGTTGTGTGTCCCCACCCAAATCTCATCTCAAACTGTAATCCCCATAATCCCAGCATGTCAGGGGAGGAACCTGTAGAGAGGTGACTGGATCATGGGGGCAGTTTTCCCCATGTTGTTCTCATGATAGTAAGTCTCACGAGATCTGATGGCTTCATAAAGGGCAGTTTCCCCTGCACTCACTCTTCTCTCTCTCCTGACGCCTTGTGAAGAAGGTCCCTTGTGAAGAAGGGGAAGCTTCTGCCGTGAGTAGAAGTTTCCTGAGCCCTCCCCAGACATGCAGAACCGAGTCCATTAAACCCCCTTTGTTTATAAATTACCCAGTGTGGTGTAGTATCTTTACAGCAGTGTGAAAATGGATGAACACACCAGTTAACCTTTTAACAGGTTACAAAGTGTTTCAGGTTCCCTACTTCCTTCCCAAACAAATTTCTGTTTCCATGGTTGGAAGAATAGGAGGCTTTCTTATTATTCAGGGACCTCTGCATGATGGAGGAGAAAAGCACAGAGCTCTCTGTTGGCCTGCAACTTACCCCTGGAAAAATAAAAATGCACTTTTGATACAGTAAGCATTTAGTGCTCCTGCTGGGATTTGGGGCAGAATCTGGATGGAATATGCAACTAAATTTAACTTATTTGTATCTCCTATATGCCTAACACTGTGATGAGCCCTAAAGACACAATTAAAGGGGAACAATAATTCATTCCCCAACTCACTTGGGTAGAGAAAATTGTAGCTTCTATGATTTGATCTGGCATTCACCTAAGGCACTAACCTCAGGGTGTCAGGGATAAGCCACCACCAGCAGCACCATGAAATCCCCCTTAAAGCTACTCCCCGTGGGCAGCTTGGATAAGAGGAGACTGCCTGAGGGGCCGGGAGCGCTGCACACTGCCTGGGACTGAGGGGTCATGAAGACAGGGAAAGGGCCAGGCACCAGCAAAGAGCTGCCCTTTGAGGGACAGGATCTGTAGCAGCACCCTCAGCGTGCCTGCCTGTTTACGGGTGTGCAGGGAGCAGTATCTGTAAAAGTGTAACAATGATTTTCTCTTCAGCCTCCCCCGTAAGTGGCTTTTACCCCAATTTACCCTAGGAATTCATTATCTGTGGGAATATCAGCATTTGCTTCAAAAGTAGAACAAGAGAAATAAAGAAGGAACAAGCTGTTTCTGACACTCAGAATGAGGACTGTGCGGAAGAAAAACAGAGTCACAGCCTACTGTCCTGAGAGAAGCTTCTCCAGGTTCCCTCATCTTTGCTTTTTCACTTATGAAGGACTGATCCATGAGGCCCAGCTCCTGGTGCTCTCCTGGAGGGTCAGAAACGTCCTTCTGACTGGGAGAGCTGGCTCCACAGGAGAGCTTTCACCTGGAGGGGTTCTCATCCCCAGAGAACACTGGGCGGTGTCTGCAGACACTTCGGGTTGTCAGGACTAGGAGTGGAGGGTGTGCCCCCGGCAGCTGGTGGGTAAGACCAGAGGATGCCGCTAAACTCCCGGCAATGCCTAGCATAGTCCCACCACAGAGAATGACCTGGCCCAAACACCATGAGTGCCGCAAGTGAGACCCTGCTCAATGGCACAGGTCCTCAGAGTGGGGTCCCAGAGCAGCACTGCGAGCCCCATGCGGGACCCCACTAGAAACACGCCCCCAGGCCTCACCCCAGACCCACCCATCAGCCATTCCGGGAAGGCCCAGCCACCTGTGCTTGGGCAAGCCCGCCAGGTGCTGTGGTGCACCTGAGGCTTATGGAAGTAAGAGGCCACGATATGGGCACTCCTGGCGCTTTCTGGCTCTGGGCCGTGGTGGTGAAGAGGAGGAGGAGACCGAAGAAGGGAGTCAAGCTGCTCTCTGTGCTCCTTCCTCTGTGGGCTGCAGCTGAGAGACAGAGCTTGGGATGGGCAGAAAAGGAGACACCTGGGCAGGCAGCTCTCGCCCCATGACCTACTTGCCACCAGGGTGACCCACTCCTCCAAGCTCCCCAAAGAGCCTGTTAGGTAACCCTGAGCCAATCTGTACCACTTGGGAACTTGTAACGGCTTAAAAAAGCGAAACACCAAAAATACCACAGGTCTTCCCTCTGCCCGTGCAGTCCCGCCAAGCTGGCTCGCTCTGGGGCTGGGATGGCTCTCTCTGCCCTTTGCTATGGCTCAGAAGGACCAGTACCGCCCACAGGAAAACTGGGAGAAGAACGGGGAACGATCAGGCTGTCAGTTAGGTGCCCGTGGTGATTAGGAGAGGCACAGTGGGTCGGCCCAAATTTCAGAGAAGCAGGGTTTCTGCCTGAGTGTGGAAAACCAATGGTACGGAAAACTATGGGGAAGAAAAAGAACACACTTAAAAAAAATTGTAACACTGAAAACACAAAGCATCTGTGAACAGCCCATAATCTCCTGCACTGGCTTTTCTATTTTGTTTGATTTCTTGTTGGAAAAAGGTCACTTTTGCCCCAGATTTGCATTCGCACAGTCAAGTATTCTGAGCATCTCCTTTGTCTTCCCCCAACACTTTATTTGGGGGTGAAACCGCTCTTGCAGCCATATGACAAAGGGTGTGCACTGGGTGCGCTTCCTCCGCTGTGAGCATCAGAAACAGATGAGCCGCCTTAAGCCAAGCGAGGAACACACCACAGGTTAGAGGGTGGACAGCGGACCCAACGCAGGGCCCGGACAGACGGAGATGCCGGGGCAAATCCTGCAACCCAGGTGTCAGGACTGCCCCTCCTCACGCACCACCGTGGAGGTGACTCAGCTCTGCCCGCTTCCTGCTGTGCGTCACACCCCTCGAGGCTCAGTGGCCTGGGAAAGAATGTCCCACTGGCCTCCCGGGCGCCACACACCCACGCAGGGCAGGGGCAGGAGTGCAGCTCGGTTATTAGACCCACAAAGCCTCCACTGAAGTGGGGTGACTCAAAGCACCTCTGGATCCTACTGCTAACAAAAGGAGCTGGGGAGGCGGGATCCCATGGGCGCCCACTGCAGCAGGCACCAGAGGGTCGCACTGCAACCTCACATAACTGGTCCAGGCTGTCCCTGCCTGCGGCAGCCTGGGGAAAGGTACTAGAAAAAGTGCCCTGGAGCTACCTCCATGGCTGTGGGAGAAAGCAGTGGGAGGCAGAATATGCTTCAGAAAGGCCAGGAGTGGAGGCTGGGATAGGTTTCCAGTGAGACAGGGATCCCGAAAACAGTGAAGATGTGTGGAAGTGGGGCCGAGGGAGTTGGGCTCAGGCTGTCAGAGGAGTGGGCTAGTTAGGTCATCATAAAATGAGAGGGACGAGCAGAGCTGTGCAGGCCTGAGAGAACCCGGCCATCAGGCAAGGATGGAGGCCACTTCGGGGCCCTGCAAGAGCGCACATCCTGCTTCCTTTGTTCCAATCTCAGCTGGAAACATCCAGAAGGTCATTCCAGATGCCACAAAGGACCCTTCAGAATGCCGTACCCAGATGAGGCTATTCCATGAACAAGATCTCTAGACCAGCTTCCACTCCCTCAAACGTGATGCGGGAGTGGCTGTGAAATTCAAGTTCTGCCTCTGGGTGGACTGGGGGGCAGGGGCCGTGGGCAGAGTTCGCCTCATTTGTTCCAGAATGAAGCCACGGTGTGGAAGGTAAAGGGTTTTCTGGGGACCTAATGTCCAGTAGCGACCTAGGTTTTGTCCATTGATGAACACAACTCCTTTTGTCCAGTCCTGAAAAAGACTGGAATGGCAGATTCAAGATCTGAGTTCTAGATGTAAAGACACAGGGTGAAGATGCACACACACACACACACACACTACACATACACAACATGCACCACCAACACACCAAATCAGATCACGCAAAGACAGAGGCTGCTTCGGGTTCCTGCGAGAATGCACGTCCTGCCTCTTTCGTTTCTATCTCAGCCAGATCTATCCACACAGGATGGATGACCAACTGGGTCCCTGGATGGGATGTACCCCAGGGAGCTCTGTACTGCCGCTGGCCTGGGCTTGGCTGGGCACCCTGGCCTCACGGGGGAGGGCTCTGATTTCTAACATGTCTCCCTGTATCTGCCCCAAGCCAACAGAGGCCGCGAATTCCCTTTCACCATCAGGTATTCATCAAAACACGCTGGGTGCAAAACACAGCTAGCATTGTAGAGTTCTGGGTGTGGAGCAAATGTATACCGGCATTTTACCCATTTTACCCACCACATCCCTGCCATGTGTTGGATGATGGACTATGTCTGGGGACTAGTGGGTGACTGTCCCCAATTTCCTCATGCAGTGGCTTCTCCATCCACTTCACTGGAACATACCACTCACTTATCTGTGCCATGTAGAGTGGCTGAGGCCCCAGTATTCCCTTGCACAAGGCGGGGCCTATGCCCCAAGGAGCGTTTGTTAAAGATTCTCCAGGGATGGGAGCTGGGGGCGGGGACAGTCGCAGGCAGAGAAATGGCACTCACCTCCAGTGTTATGAGGGTGTCTCGGGGGGTCACCAACTCGCAGTAAACTGAGGAGGAACGCAAGGCCCTGCACTCGACTGAAGACGAGTTTCCAGACGGTGGGTAGGGTCCTAAGAGAGAGTCAGGGCCCAGCCAAGGGTCAGGCCTTCCTAACATGCCGGCTGTGACTTTGGAGTGAGCCTCTTCCCTGGAGCCTGGGCCCCTCTGCAGCACAAGTGGTGGCTTCAGGGTGCAGTGAGTGAGGCGTTGGGCCAGGAGGCGGGGACGAGGGATGGCACCACTCCGCCCCCAGGCAACTGTGAAACGTGGGGTCATCTCCTTCAACTTTCTGGGTCTCTTACTAAAAACGGGAGGGAGATTTGTCTGGATGATTTCTGAGGTCTCTTCCACCCCTTTCCACCCCTAAACCAAATGAGTTTAGTTTTCATCTCCAAGCTATAGATTGCAAATTTTCTTAATGGAGTATTGTCCAGATAAATATCCCCAGTTAAATCTGCAGGAGAGGAAAGAAAGGGAGCTTGAAGGAGGCAGGAGGGGCACGGAGATGTCGGGGCTGTGGGCAGGTGTCTCTCTGGAGGAGGTGTCCTCCGCATGGGGCTTCTCTGTGAGGAGCAAGCCAAAGGGCGGGGAGGAGCAAACAGGCTACACAGGGCCAGGCCACGCCCTCATCCCACACGGGCCCTGCCAGGGCTACACAGAGCCAGGCCTCACCCACGACTCATGCAGGGCCTGCCAGGGCTACCCAGGGCCAGGCCTTGCCCACAACCCACATGGGCCCTGCCAGGGCTACCTAGGGTGAGACCACACCCTCAACCCACAGGGGCCCTGCCAGGGCTACCCAGGGCCAGGCCTCACCCACAACCCACGCAGGGCCTGGAAGGGCCCACGAGGGCCTGAAGGGCTACCCAGGGCCAGGCCTCACCCACAACCCACGCAGGCCTGGAAGGGCCACCCCAGGGCCAGGCCTCACCCACAACCCACGCAGGGCCTGGAAGGGCTACCCAGGGCCAGGCCTCACCCACAACCCACAGGGGCCTGGAAGGGCTACCCAGGGCCAGGCCTCACCCACAACCCACGCACGGCCTGGAAGGGCTACCCAGGGCCAGGCCTCACCCACAACCCACGCAGGGCCTGGAAGGGCCTAGAACTTATTCCTCACTGGGTTAGATACATTGTTCTTAATAGTCAGCTGATCGGTGACGTGATCCAGGACCCCCATATACTTCTCATTCAAAAACACCTGCCAAAGAAAGAAGGCAGAGCTATTAGGTCCTCATTAAGAAAGGGAGGACAGGGGCCTTAAAGAAGCAAAGAAAAAGGCAAATCGAGGGCAATAATGAATTCTTTGACTCCTCGAATAAGCCAGTTAACCATGAGCTCACAAAAACTAGCAGTAGTTCGAGGGGCACAGAGATGCCCTGCAGAAGGCGAAGGCTGAAGAAGTGTGGCCAAGACGACCCTCAGGCTCCAGCTCCACCGCAGGGCAAGGAGGGGAAATTTAAAAGACCTGCAAGGAATGACGGAGAAAAGGAAGGTGGAGGATGAATAGATATTGTCAAAAACTGGTGATAAAAGAGAAGGCATGGACCATAGGAACCTCATTTGTTTCTTGTCTGCCCACCTTGCCATCCAGGTTCCCCTCTACCACAGATCCCATTCTGCCAGGCTTCCTCAACCCTTTTTTTTTTTTTTTTTTTTTTTTAACAGGGTCTTGCTCTGTCGCTCAGGCTGGAGTGCAGTGGCTCAATCATGGCTCACTGCAACCTCGACCTCCTGGGCTTAAGTGGTCCTCCTGCTTCAGCCTCTCAAGTAGCTGGGACCACAGGTGCACACCACCATGCCCAGCTAATTCCTTTAACTATTTGTAGACACAGGGTCTCCCTATGTTCCTGAGGCTGCTCTCAAACCCTTGGGCTCAAGCAATTCTCCTGCCTTGGCCCTCCCACAGTGTGGAGATTACACCGCACCTGGCCTCCAATTCTTATTTGGAAAGGCTGCTGCCACCACCCTGTCTGGTTTGGGGGTGATCTGAATGTAAACCTATTTCTTTTCTATTTCCTACAGGATTGCTTCAGCCCCAGATGGAGCCATGCAGAAGACTCCACTTGGGCCATGCAAGACCAGATAAGGATAAATAATTTGCTTCTTACATTGTTTAAGTTAAATCACAATTTTTCAAATCAAATTTGACTCTAAAACTGTAACAACTGGATTGAGACAGTGTTGCCCAGGCTGGAGTGCAGTGGCATGATCTCAGCTCACTGCAACCTCTGCCTCCCAGGTTCAAGCAATTCTCCTGCCTCAGCCTCCCCAATGGGCACACACCACCACTCCCAGCTAAGTTTTGTATTTTTAGTAGAGACGGGGTTTCACCATGTTGGCCAGGCTGGTCTCGAATGCCTGACCTCAAGTGATCTGCCTGCCCCGGCCTCCAATGTCCAATCTTTTTCGGGGCTGGATGGAAGAAAGAAAAAGATTGTGTCCAGTCTTTTTCAGAGCTGGACGAAAGGAGTTGTGTTCATCAATGGACAAAACCTAGGTCGCTACTGAACGTTAGGTCCCCAGAAAACCCTTTACCTTCCAGCACTGTGGCTTCATTCTGGAACAAATGAGGTGAACTCTGCCCATGGCCCCTGCCCCCAGTCCACCCAGAGGCAGAGCTTGAATCTCACAGCCACCTCACCTTGTCCCAATCCTCACTTGCCTCGTATCTTGGAGTCACACACACTCGATCTCCAAAAATGCGAGGGAAACAGCTGGAGACAGATGAAGAGAGCCGTTTTCCCACGAGGGAAGACAACTGTTTTCCCACGAGGGAAACAGCTGGAGATGATGAAGCGATCCTTGGGGTGTGCAAGAAACCTCCAGTAAGAGAGTTTGAGTACGCAGGCAAAAACTCAGACACAAAGACTGACCAAAAATTGGAGACAGGAATTCTAGGCCTAGGGAACAAAGGAAAGAGGGAGCCAAAGGGACTCCCTCTGACATTCCCCCAGATACTCCTTTTGGGAGAATGCTGAAGGTTTGGAGGCACAACGCTTGAACCAGGGACAAAGAAAAGCAAAAGATGGCAAAGTATTGCTGTCTTGTCTGGCCCAAGACACCATTCATAAGCCTTCAGTCTTTCGGTGTAAGTCTGGCTCAGATGAGGATTGGGTGTGCCAAGTTTTAATCCTCTATGTGCATGATAAAACCCCATCCTCACAAGAAGAGATAGGTTATGCTCTCTGCTGCATCAAGGAATTAGCCCCCATGTTCCCCTCAAAGGAGAAGAAAAACAGCCTAGTGAAAATCCTTGCTCAGTGAAAAGCCCTGGGATCCCCTATCATGCTTGCCCTTTCCATATGTCTCACATAAAAAGGGACAGAAAGATCAAGGGGCAGCAGGAGAGTTAGAGGAAGAAAGACCCAGAGACCATGGGGGAGCCAAACCAATTGCTCCTTTAAATCCTTATCCAAATGTAAGAAAAGAACTAGAACTGTGTAAGAGGGATACTGAGAACTTCCCTATCCCTTCAGCACAGCAGGCATCTAGCATGTTCCGTCTTAGGGAAGTTCCCATGGGACAGGGAGAGCTTGGCTTTGTAAACACTCCCCTTACAAGTACTGAAGTTAGGAATTTCAAGAAGGAAATGAAACCACTCCTAGAAGATCCCCTCGGTTTAGGGGGATCTTTATTATTTTTGAGACGGAGTCTCACTCTGTTGCCCAGGCTGGAGTGCAGTGGCGTGATCTCAGCTCCTGTTGGGCCCCTGAGCTTCCCTATTTCTAAGCAGGCCGCTTCATAGAGCAGGGAGCTCCCACTTTGGCAAGGTCACCTGGAAGTGCTTTGCCTCCCTGAGCCTATAGATACGCAGCGTTGCAAGAGTAGGGTCCCTCCACGGGGGCATAGCTCTGGCACACATAGACTATGTTGTGAGAGAGGAGAGCTGGGGAGGCATGGGTGCATCCTACTACCCCTCTGCTCGATTTCCCCAAACAGCTTCTGCTGTATCTAAGTTGTAGGGCACTAATGCTGTGTGTAGGGCCCTTTTACAACGGTTGTGATGATTGAGACAAGGACTAGGGGCAGGACCCGTTCCCTCTGTCTTCAGCATATCAGAGTTTATGTGGCCACTATTTTGATGTGTCTGTGTGGGTGGGTGGGTGGACCTTACCTTCTGTTCTTTGTCCAGCTGTATAATTGATATGGTTGTTTTTGGTACAGAGTGCTCTGCACAGACGTATGAGTGGTTGCATGCCCTGTGACCTGTCTTTGGCACCTGTGAAGTCAGCCAAATACATGGCCAGTAATGACCTGTAAATCATGCCAAGATGGCACACAACGTGTCAGACCGGGGGAAGGAAGGTACTTGGCCTTTTCACGCAAGATTTAATACAGGCAGGGATTTGATACAGGGGTGCGATACAGCACTGTAAGTTTAGCAGCTCTTTCTGGCCAGTGGAAACCACTTCATCTTGGAGTATTACTGGACTTTAGATGATCAAACATAGAAGTGACCGCTGCCACTCCCATTGTCCTGACATCATGACAGTGGCTGAATGTGTCATTATGGTTGGTAACTGGCTTGAGCAGTGGGATGGTTGGAGCTTGGGGAGATTGTGCAAACACCACCACTTCACTGCTGGTAAGTTTGTTGTCAATAACACATTGTGTATCTGTATGTCATGGCATCGAAGGTGTGTGTTCAGCACGTTTTTGCACAGTACTCCCCAATATTCATGCCTTTACACTTCCTGGTTTATAAAGTTCAAGTTTTGTTGTGGAATCTACACCTTAGAAAATGTAACTCTAACTTCTGTGCAGCGCTAAATTCTAACTGATCCAAGCCAACTGTGTAATCCCATTGTGTTTGTCGGTGATTGGTTTGGGGGTAGGCCTATGGCTCTACAGTGAACCATGAGACATAAGAGTAAGGCGGCTGAGGGCCTCTTGGAGAAGTCTCCAAGGGTACATGCTGGTGCTGGGCATTACTGAGTCTGTACTGGAGCCTGAAGTCACTGCAGCCACCATGCCACTGTGAGGGCCGGCCTAAGGGCAAGCCGACAGTCCAAGGACAGCAGGGAGAACAGCGGGAACCACTGAACTAACTGATCCTAGAATCACTCCGGTCTGATTTCTTATTTTTAGAGATCACAACATTTTCTTATTGTTTGAGCTAGTTTAATAAAAATTTTCTGTAGTGGTACAGACTTGATCATGTAAAAGAATTTCCATTTTATATTTCTAGTTTCCTAAAAGCATTACTTTTAATTTTATAATGGATGTGTGTGGAATGCTTTTATGCATCTATTGAGATGATTATATGTCATTTTTCTTTTGATTCATTAATGTGGTAAATTACATACAATTTTTTCCATGTTGAAAATGAACAGTTGCATTGCTCAGATACACCGTACTAAATCATTATATTGTGGCTTTTTGGTACACTATTGGATTGGATTTGCTATATGCACTTAGCATTTTTGCATCTATACTTATTAGTGATGTTTACAATGGTTTCCTTTCTTATATTCCCCTTGTTTAGTTATAAAGTGAACTTGGTAGAGCTCCACCTTTTCTATTACCTAGAACAATGGGCCCTTGCTTGGGCTTGGAGTCTGCTCTGAGGTCCTGACTAGTGTGCAGGACGTTCGGCAGGCGCGCCTGGGACCAGCACCTGCGAAGGGAGGAGCAGAAGCAGCGCTGGGCAGAGGGAGCAGCAGGCAGCAATGCAGCCCCGGAGGAGGCCGCGCTGATCCCTGAAGAGCGAATGGCCTTCCCCATTGTCCCAGGCTGGGCGAGGTGCGTGGACTTTGTGGCCGCACAGGGATCCGTCACCGGATGTGGGAGGAGGCGTGACTTCCGGGGCGGCACTTGGTCTCTCCAGCGAAGGCAGGCCCCACAAAGGGCTGACCGCGGGGAGAGCTCAGAACATCTTCTGAAAATAAACCTTTTTTTACACATCTGTTTTATTTTTTATATCGGCCTAAACTATTTAATGGCTTGGGTATTTGAGTTTTCTTTTTCTACATGGGTCAAATTTAATAAGTTATGTTTTTTTCCCTATAAAATTGCCCTTGTCATCTTGATTTTTAATTTTTCTGTCATGAAATTTAAAAAAAACCTGTTTAATCTATATTAATCACTTTGCGCTTTTTTTCTAATATTGCTTGGTTTTGCCTCTTGGTCAGTTTTCTTAAAGATTTCTCAATTTCACTAATGTTTTCGAAGTACTACTTTTATGTTGTTATTTATCTGTATCGTGGTGTTAGTCACTTTATTTCTGATTACACCTTTATTCTGTATTTCTTTCTACTACCTCAGTGTGTACCGTGTTTTTCTTTTTTCCCACTTGAATTATTAGTGTCTTTATTTTCTTTATTTTGGGTTTCTTGATGAGTGAATTTAAGTTTATAAATATTATCTAATTGTCATTTTAACAGCATCCCAGGATATTTTTTCTATTTTTAAAATTTTATTTGAAATAATTCTTATTATTTCTTTGTCATCCCACATAAAGAATCACATAGTTGGCTCAACCAAGCCTGCACTCCCAGGATCTCATCTCATTTTAGCATATCACAAAAAACCATGATGCAGTAGACGCACCTATGTAACATATGAAGAATGATAAAACGACTACTCATTGGCAGTCACATAGCGTAATCATTAGAATAGTAACCAAACATTACCAACGTCCACCTTTATATTTCCTCCTCTCTCCTGCTCCAGTGGTAACTGGAATAGCTTACGTTTTGTGCTTATTATCCTCGTGGTGTACTTTAGTGTTTTACTATCTATGCATCTATCACTAAGATACTATTTGCATTTGTGTGTTTTGAGTACCTTATATAAATGGCGTTGTATTGTGTGCAATTTTCTTAGATTATTTTGATGTCATACTGTATGTATTCTTCTGAAACTATTTTTTTGTTGTTGTTCAACATTGAGTTCATTACCTATACCGCTCTACAGAAATCTACTTCTGAATGCACTCAAGATCACTCATACATCCTTTTTGGGGTGGACAGTTTAGCTTTCTTTAGTTTGGGGATATTATGAACAATGCTGATGCAAACATTTATGTGTAGGTTTCAGTGTGCATGTGAAAGCGTTTCTATAGGATGGACAACTTGAAGTAAAATTGCTGCGTCTTAGGACTTAACACATTGTCAATTGCACTAGATGGTACCAAATTGCTTTCCAGAGTAGTTGAGAATAAACTTCTACCACAGTGCCAATCAACATATGTGTGTAGAATTTTATCTTCTTTTAGCTTTTAAGCTGTATTTCCTTATTGGTAAGGAAGTCAGTGTCTTCTAATATGTTTATTGGCCATTTATACTACTACTTCTGTGAAATGAGTATTTCTATCTTTTGCCCATTTTTGTAATGTTTTTGCTTTAGTTTATTTCTTGATTTACTTTTGAGATGATTTTGAATGTTTATTCTTTGAGGAATATAAATGTTTCAAATAACTTCTTCCAATTTATGGCTTGTCTTTTCCTTTTTGTATAAAATGGGGTCTTTCTATGAACAGGAAGCTTTTTGTTTATTTTTAGTAGTCAGGTTGACCTAGCTTTTACTTCATGGCTGTGCTTTCATGTCTTATTTAAGAAAATACTTTACTGTAACAAGACTGTAACAACAGTTTATCTACAATTTCTTCTAAAAGTTTTACTGTTTGTTTTAATTTTAAAATCTTTAATCTGTATATTAGGGGCTGAATTGTGTGAAACCCTAATTCCTAGTACCTCAGAATGCAACTGTATTTGGGGATATGGTCTCTAAAGGGGTAACTAAGGTACAATAAGTTCATTAAGGTGGGTCCTAATCCAATGTGACTGGTGTCACTGTATGAAGAGGAAATCATGACACAGAGGAAACCCATGTGCAGACACAGGGAAGCGATAGCCATCTGCGAGCCGAAGAGGGGCCTCAGAAGGAGCCAGCCCTGCTGACACCTTGATCTTGGACTTCCAGCCTCCAGAACTGTGAGAAAATAAATATCTGTCGTTTAAACCAACCAGTCTATGGTATTTGTTACAACTGCCCTAGCAAACTTATGCACCTTTCAAATTAATTTTTATATACATTGTGAGGTAAGATCCAGTATTTTAAAAACATATTAACCTATTGTACTTTCTTCCCACAGGAATCTGGAATGTCATCTAATACGTAAAGTTTTTCAAATATTTTTTGGGTTCATTCCCTCAATGAAGAGAACTCATTGCTTGAGAAAGACTCTGAACAAGATGAGATTGCTAGCCAAGCTGTTCATTTGTCTTGGCTAGAAATTCTCTGCAGCCCATAATCCAAATAGTTTACATGTCTAGATGCCTGAAATTTATTTTTCAATTCTTGTCTTAACTTCCTGAAGTTAGGAAGTTAGGTTCCTAACTATAGGAACCGAAGTTTTGTCAAAAGCCAATTACCCTGTCCCTGCTCACACACAGGCAGCAGCGGAAACAGGCTGAACACCTACCACAAGAGTGTACACAGAAAAGCAGAGAATGTTTGCTTCCCATATGTGGCCTGGCTCCAAAAAGCCATCACAGGAATTCTGATGTAAAGCACATCCAAGTTCGTTCAGTTCTAAACGTTTAAACATTTGTATTCTGATTTGCTTTTTAAAGCATTGATTATTTTGACTGTAGTTCCCAAATACGTGGCTTTTTAATCTTTTTGATGCTGATTTCTAATTTACCTTTTGTGTATGGAAAATGCCTTTTCTAAAATGTCAATTATTTGAAAATTTCTAAGACGGATTTGGAACTCAACATAAGGTCAAGTTTGAAAAGTTTTTATGAACAAGAGAGCTGCATGAGTTGATTGCTGAGGTAGAAATGAGATAACAATACTTAGATAATAAAATTTAAACACTGTTTAGATTTAACCATGTTGTAGGCATGTTTTCATGCCATTAATGTGATCCTTGTGCTTTAGTGATGGTTTTATAGTGTAATCTATATTAACCCTAAAATGCATGCCCTCTACTACCATGCAGAAGGGCCTGCTGAAATATGAATCTGAGCATGTCTTCCCTGTTCCTGGCCTCTGCCTGTTGAGAAGAGTGAACCCTCTCCTGAGTGACTCCCATCTCCACTATAATGCCTTGAGCAGAACTCTCTGCATTGTGGCACTTACATATTGCATCACGTCTTGAATTTCTTTGTACTGGGGCTCCCCAGGGAAACAGAACCAATAAAATGTATGTAGAGACTTTTATTATAAAGAATTGGTTCAAATAGTTATGGAAGCTGAGAAGTCCCAAGTTTTGCAGTCAGCAAGCTGGAGACCCAGGAGAGTTGACGGGGTAAGTGCCAGTCTGAGTCAGAGTTGGAGGCAGGAGAAGACCAATGTCCCAGATCGAAGACAGGAAGCTTTCCACTCCGACAGGATCAGGCCGATTAACTTCAACTCCTAGGGGAAAAGACTCTTGAGAACACGTTTTAACCTTGGGTTCTCACCTAGAGTTCTGCACGATTTTCCATTTCCTTAACTAATGAATGCATCTAGCAGACTCAGTCCCTAAAAAAGACACATTTGAATGAGAACAGCCAGAGGCGGGCAGCTGAACTGGGCTGCCCCCTGCTGAGCACCTCTGTCAGCGCAGCCTGCACTTGAGCAGAGTCACCCTGTGGAGGGACAGGTGGAGGCCAGCTGCTTCACTTCCCTCTGCTGGGTGTGGCCCTGCGTGATGGGGTGCATATCCACGTCATTTGTTTTTTAACCTGCTGGAGACGATTATCAATTTACTTAAAGTTTGAATGTCTGTAAGGACAAAATTTAAAGCTAGGGTCTGAAGATCTGTAGCAGGGATGTATCTGTCATCTCCCTATCCCTCCATCTCAGCCTGTTAACTGTATCATCGTGGGTTAAATTAATTACTAAGACACCATGGAGTCCACTTTATAGCTCAGATGAGCATTTTTCATTTTCTGTAGTAAACATGACGTAAGTAAACAAAGAGGTTCTCTAACAAGGATGGCTTACAAGTAGAAGTGGCTAAATTTTCACTTTTATAAATTTTGCTGCTTTTTATTAACTATCAATAAACCTGGAAAGATGATCTTACAAGTAGACAACAGATTTTGCATACTTTAATCTTAAAGTTACCTCTGCCTCAACTCTTTGTTCATAGCTGACACTGGAATATTAATAGTTGATCATCTTTCCCTTTAATTTTTCACTGATAATATCAATTCCTAACCCAGATTTTTGGATCTCACAAGGGTTCTTATTTTACAGTTGTCTCATACATTTATTTAAGAAGTTCAGCCTAAGAAGAAATCAAGAATTGTCTTTTCCGGTTCATACAGAAACTATAGGGTCATCCACTACTAAAGCAACAGAAGGTGCTGCCTTCTTTTTCTAGGAGCTGCTGTTCTTAAAAGACAGCAATTTAGGAGCAGGACTTGTGCTTTACTAACATCAAAGCGCGGCACAGGAAGTTTGCACACACAGTTCTGGAAGCTTTCCGATGTTTTCTGCCTGCTTTGGGAAGCCAGCTCTTTTTTTTTTTGAGACGGAGTCTCGCTCTGTCGCCCGGGCTGGAGTGCAGTGGCCGGATCTCAGCTCACTGCAAGCTCCGCCTCCCGGGTTCACGCCATTCTCCTGCCTCAGCCTCCCGAGTAGCTAGGACTACAGGCGCCGCCACCTCGCCCGGCTAGTTTTTTGTATTTTTAGTAGAGATGGGGTTTCACCGTGTTAGCCAGGATGGTCTCGATCTCCTGACCTCGTGATCCGCCCGTCTCGGCCTCCCAAAGTGCTGGGATTCCAGGCTTGAGCCACCGCGCCCGGCCGGGAAGCCAGCTCTTTGCTTCATCATCAGTTATCTGGATGGGAACTGAAGGGAAAAATTACAATTTTTTTTTTTTAAATAAATTGCACCAGGATGCTGGGTCTGCAGCCCCAGTGGCTGTTCTTTCCTGTACCTGGGATGTTGGCCTTGTAGAGTTACTTCTGTAATCTGAAGACAGAAACCGACAGCTCTGTTTGATCAAAATTGTTACTTCATCTTGCACAGTTTCAAGAGTTCTACAGGTTTAATGAACACAGAAACCTGGGGGAACTTTCTTACTCTCCAGGGCTCATTCATAGAGGTTCTCAAATACTCCATCAGCAGAGCGGAGCCCCTGATGGCAAAAGGACACAGGATGAGTCACCTTTCAAATGAACCAATAATCCATTCTTTGATTCTTCTACCTTTGTCAAAATTCCTCCATCAACCGCTGCAGAAAAATCACAATTCTTGATACATAGCTTGTTCCAATAAAGCACAACAGTAATGCCCAATAAAGCTGGGCAGGTGGGGATAACTAAAAAAGCCCAGGCAATTTGCTGAGCCTGATGGGTGTCAGGGTCAGTCCAAATGAAAGTGACTGTAGACCCACCTGTCAAACTATTTCAACTTGATAGAGAATATGTACACAAAACCTATAGCTGTCATCATACTTAATAGTGAAAAACGGAATGTTTTCCAGCTAACACTGGGGACAAGGTAACAGTGTCAGTTCCTGCTGCTCTTATTCAACACGGAAATTTTAGTCATCATACTAAGACACACAAAAAAAGAATTAAAAGCCATGCAGACTGGAAAGGTAGAAATAAAACTGTCCATATTTGCAGATGACATGATTATCTACATAGAAAATGCCAAGCAATATACAAATAACCTCTTAAAATTAATAGGTGAGTTTACCAAGGTCACAGAATACAAGGTCAACATGAGAAATGCAATCACATTTCCATATGCTAACTACAAACATGTAAAAACTGAAATCAAAAACATAATAACAGTTTAAATCTCTTAAGAGCAAAGGAAGTATTTAAATATAAATCTAACAAAACATGCATAGGATCTGTATGTTGAAAAAAAATCACACACTTCTGAAGAAAGAAGTGAAAAAAAGAACTATTTTAATAGAGAGACATACCATGTCCGTGGGTTGGAAGATTCAACATAATAAGGATACAATTCTCAATTTGATCCATAGGTTGATTGCAATTACTCTCAAACTACCAACATGGCTTTTTGTGGAAATAGACAAGTTTATTCTAAATTTTATGTGGGAAGGCACAAGCCCTACAATACTTTAAACTTGACAAAGAAGAATAAAGTGTGTGGCTGTAAAACCAAAATGTACAAAATTATTAACAGTTCATTGCTTACAATCTAAAAATGAGGAAAAGATGGACGATCTAGGAAATGTTCAGGGAGCTAAGGTTTCAGAGAGGAAAGTATCCTTGTAATGAATGAGACAAGATAAACTCCTTCCCCCAACCCCCACACACAATATTTTCAGAGAACTACATTCCTGGTTTCAACCTGATGTCATAGGCTGTGTTCTTTCCAAGGGAAGAAGCAAAGACTTCAAAGGGAGAAATCGGAAGACTTCTTTTTTCATCATAGGGACTTCACATCAGCGCTTCCAAAACCGAGTTCATCACCCTTTTCCTCTATGCAGCCTCTTTCCCTTCCTGTGTTTCCTCCCATCTCAATAAATGTCACCGCCAAGTTACTTAAGCCTGAAACATGTGGCTTCCCAGACTCCTCTCTGTATCTGTTAATAAGAAAAATAAAAGTGTTGAAGTGTTGGGGCGGCGAAAATTTTTTTGCAGGCAGAGTATGGAGTCTCAGGGCTGCTTCAAGTGGGATTAGGGGCGCGGGAACCTAGCGTGGGAGAGATGAAGCTGAAGGAAGACTTCGTGGTAAGAGGTGATATTGTGGGGTTGCTAGAAGGAGCATTTGTGGTATAGAATGATTGGTGATGGCCTGGATGCGGTTTTGTATGAATTGAAAAACTAAATGGAAGACACAAGGTCCGAAAAAGAGAAAGAGATAAACAGGTATTAAAGGACTAAGAATTGGAAGGACCCAGGACATCTAATTAGAGAGTGCACAGGGAGGTTCAGCATAGCCCTGCCAGCAAAGATTAGAGAGCGAGTTGAGCACAGTTTGTGATTTTGAGGGCCTCTAACAGTATTAAAGCAGCAGCAGCCACTGCACGCAGACATGAGGGCTAGGCTGAAACAGTAAGGTCAAGTTGTTCGGACAGAAAGGCTACAGGGCATGGTCCTGGCTCTTGTATAAGAATTCTGACTGCACTAACCATGCCTAGGAAGGAAAGGAGTTGTTTTGTAGAAGGAATTGGGGTTTGGGAGATTAGCCAGACATGATCAGCAGGGAGAGCACGTGTGTTTTCATGAGAATTATGCCGAGATAGGTAACAGATGAGGAAGAAATTTGGGCTTGACTGAAGTAATGGGGGCCGTCTGTGAGGCCTTGTGGCAGTAGAGCCCAGGCAATTTGCTGAGCCTGATGGGTGTCAGGGTCAGTCCAAGTGAAAGCAGAGACAGGCTGGGATGAAGGGTCTAAAGGAATAGTAAAGAAAGCATGTCTGAGATCCAGAACAGAATAATGGGTTATGGAGGGAGGTATTAAGGATAGGAAAGTATATGGGTTTGGCACCATGGGGAGGATAGGCAAGACAATTTGGTTGGTAAGGCGCAGATCCTGAACTAACCTGTAAGACTTGTCTGGTTTTTGGACAGGTAAAATGGGGGAATTGTAAGGAGAGTTTATAGACTTTAAAAGGCCATGCTGTAACAGGCGAGTGATAACAGGCTTTAATCCTTTAAAGCGTGCTGCGGGATGGGATATTGGCATTGAGTGGGGTAAGGGTGATTAAGTTTTAACGGGATGGTAAGGGGTGCATGATCGGTCGCCAAGGAGGGAGTAGAGGCGTCTTATACTTGTGGTTTAAGGTGGGGAGATTCAAGGGCAGGATGTGAAGGAGGCTTTGAACTGGGGAAAAGGGCTGCAATGAGGTGTGGTTGTAGTCCAGGAACAGTCGGGGAAGCAGATAATTTAGTTAAAATGTCTCGACCTAATAAGGGAGCGGGGCAGGTGGGGATAACTAAAAAAGATTGCATAAAAGAATATTGTCTAAGTTGGCACCAGAGTAGGGGAGTTTTAAGAGGTTTAGAAGCCTGGCCGTCAATACCCACAACAGTTATGGAGGCAAGGGAAACAGGCCCTTGGAAGAAGGTAATGTGGAGTTGGTAGCCGCCGTACTGATTAAGAAGGGGACGGACTTACCCTCTACTGTGAGAGTTACCCGAAGCTCGGCATCCATGATGGTCCAGGGAGCTTCCAAGGCAATCGGACAGTGTCAGTCTTCAGCCGCTAAGCCGAGAAGATCTAGGAAGAAGTCATAGGAAGAAGTCAGTCGGAGCCTTGGGCCAATTGGACAGTCCAATTTCCGGTGGGGTCCCGCACAGACGGGACACGACTTAGGAGGAATCCCGGGCTGCGGGCATTCCTTGGTCCAGTGGCCAGATTTCCGGCACTTGTAGCAAGCTCCTGGGGGAGGAGGTTCTGGAGGAACCCCTGGCAGCTGTAGTTCAGGTGTCTGGAGTTCTTGTGTCCTGGAGATGTGGCTGGGGTTTGTCTCACAGTGGAGGCAAGGAATTGCAACTCAGAAATACATTGCTACTTGGCTGCCTCTACTCTATTATTGTACACTTTGAAGGCGAGGCTAATTAAGTCCTGTAATGGGGTTTGAGGGCCAGAATCTAATTTTTGGAGCTTTTTCTAATGTCAGGAGCTGACTGGGTGATAAAATGCATATTAAGTATAAGGCGGCCTTCGGGCCCCTCTGGGTCTAGGGCGGTAAAGCGTCTAAGGGTTGCTGCCAAGCAGGCCATGAACTGGGTTGGGTTTTTATATATGATAGAAAAGAGCCTAAATGCTAACTGATTTGGGAGAGGTCGGATAAAGAAAAAAGGAGCATTAACCTTGACTGTGCTTTTAGCTCCAGCCACCTCTTTAAGAGGAAATTGTTGGGCAGGTGGGGGAGGGCTAGTCACAGAATGAAACTGTAAACCAGACCCGGTGTGAGGAGAGGAGGTGATAGATTATAGGGTGGGGGAGCAGAGGCTGAGGAAGAATTGCGGCCTGGCTCGGCCTGGCGAGGAGCAGCCTGGGGAGAAGGGGAGAGGTCAGACAGGTCTGTAGAAAAGGAAGATTAGAAAGACTCAGCGACGCTTGGGGTTGGGACAGAGGGGACAGGCGGGCGGGAAAGAAGGAGGATTTGGGATCAGTGGCATTGGGAACAGAGACTAGGGAGGGAACAATGTGTAAAAGAATGCCTGGACGTCAGGCACCTCAGACCGTTTGCCTATTTTACGACAAGAATTATCTAGATCTTGTAGGATGGAAAAATCGAAAGTGCCGTTTTCTGGCTATTTGGAACCACTGTCGAGTTCGTATTGGGATTAAGCCGCGTCGCAGAAGAAAATAAGACACTTAGATTTTAGGTCAGGCGAGAGTTGAAGAGGTTTTAAGTTCTTGAGAACACAGGCTAAGGGAGAAGAGGCAGGAATGGAGCGTGGAAGGTGGCCTATAGTGAAGGAGGGAAGTTTAAAGAGAAGGGTAGAGACACCGAGAAGGGGGTGGGGAGCAGCCCTGGGCTGCAACGTGGGTGAGCAGCCAAAGCAGGCATCCCTGCAACTGACTTGCCACCAAGGGAATGTGGGTGAATGATCAAGGCAGGCGTCCCTGCGGAGATCAGACACCAATGGAACGTGGGTGAATAATCAGAGAGGCATCCCTGCAATGATTAAACACCAAGGGAAGGCTGCCTTCCCTAGTCGGTGACTGACACGGGAGTTTTGGGTCCACGGATAAAATGTGTCTCCTTTGTCTCTACCAGAAAATGAAAGGAACTGAAATTAAGAGAAGGGAGAAATTGAAGTGTGGCGTCAAGATTGAAAGAGAAAGAGGTTGAGGGATAGTGAGAGACGTTGGAGAAGAGAGTAAAAAGAGGCCACTTACCACATTTAAAATTGCTGAGATGTTCCTTGGGCTGGTGGGTCTGAGGACCCGAGGTCGTAGGTGGATCTTTCTCACCGAGCAAAGAGAAGGAGGACAGGGGATTGATCTCTCAAGGGAGGTCCCCCATCCGAGTCAGGGCACCAAATTTCATGCGCATCCCTATGAAGAGACCACCAAACAGGCTTTGTGTGAGCAGCATGGCTGTTTATTTCACCTGGGGGCAGGCGGGCTGAGTCTGAAAAAGGAGTCAGTGAAGGGAGATGGGGGGAGGGCCGTTTTACAGGATTTGGGTAGGTAAAGGAAAATTACGGTCAAAGGGAGTTGTTCTCTGGCGGGCAGGGGTGGGGGTCACAAGGAGCTCAGTGGGGAAGCTTTTGAGCCAGGATGAGTCAGGAAAAGGAATTTCACAAGGTAATGACAACAGTTAAGGCAGGAACAGGCTATTTTCACTTCTTTTGTGGTGGAATGTCATTAGTTAAGGCAGGAACCCGCCATCTGGATGTGTCCGTGCAGGTCACAGGGGATATGATGGCTGAGCTTTGGCTCAGAGACCTGCCAGTATCACCGACCTCATGAGCTCAGTTATTCGGAGCTGCTGGTTTAACCGTCTGTTCTCATCTAGCCTCCACCCCGCAGCCAGCAATCTCCGTAAAACGAACACCTGGCTTAGTTTCTGCTGGAAACCGTTGAATAGTCCCCTGTTTTCTGGAAGGGTCTGAGCAGCTCCCCGTTGCGTCCACAGCCCCCGGGCCTGCCTCCTGCAGGTCCCGCTACTTTGTCACCAAAGCATCCTCAGCGCTCGCACCTGCCTGAAGCTGTGCTCGGGCGCTCCCGCCGAGGGAACCGCCTTCCCAAAGCTCTGCGCTCTAATTCTCACTGGTCTACCAAGAGCTAGCAGTGTGGGGAAACGAGAATTCTCCGGGGACTCTCCCCTGTACTTCGTGGCCCTCTGCGGAATCCTTGTTTAAGGATCTGCAGGTCGTTTCCAGTCGTGCGCGCAGCACGGAGGCTGCCGGCCCTGCCCAGCGCTGGGCTCTCCGCCTCTCTCCCACACGCCGGCCTCTCTGTGCCAGCTGGCTGTGCACCCAGGTCAGGAAGCCCAAGGTCGGGGCGTTAACCCAAGGGCCCTCCCGCGTTCCCTCCGAGGGCGGAGAGGCGTCTGCGCCCGAACCGGCTGCGGGAACACCTGGAGCGCCGGCGGAGCTCGGCTGCCCTCGCGGTGCGGAGCCCGACGCGCATTCTTGGGCCCGGGGTCCGCCGTCCGCGCCTGCGAACGGATTTCTGCCTCGGCTACACGCGCAGCGCGCAGACCTGAGCCGGCCCCGCGGAACTGGGGCTCGAGTCCCGGCCTGAGCGCGGCGTCGGGGGCAGCGGAGAGGGGCGGCAGCCGCTAGGGACCCTCGGCGCCTCGGCCTCGCCGCGATGAAGTCCCCGCCCTTCCTCAGGTGACGGATCCCCGCTGCCCCCGCGGCGGCCCAGCCCTCCCTCCCGGGCTACCCACCACCCAGCGCGCGCCTCGGAGCCTCCCGCCCTCCCCGGTTCCGTGGCCAGCCAGGCGCCCCAGGCGTGCGCCGCGCCAAGCCGCGTCATGAAGCCCGCTCTCCGCAGCTTTCCTCTGCAGAGCCCCTTGCTACCCCCACCCTGCGCAGGGGCTGTTCACCCGATGCCAGAAAATCAGGGCTGGGGACGCAGGCCGGGGGCTCCAGCGGCTGGACACCGTGTCCTTCCCGAACCTGGTGGTGAAGTGCGCCCGCCTCCACCTCTCCCAGACACCCACCCGCAGTGCCCAGCCCTGTCTGTAGGGTCTAGGACTGAACGTCTGTCCCCGACCTCCATGCTGCGCTCTCCTGGCCCTGGGCCCGCCCAGAAGACCCGCCTGTGCCGCGGGCCCCTCCCTGGCTCCGGCCCCTAAAGCGCCCCCGGCACAGGTTCGCGGCCCTTGGCGCCTGGTGGGGCCAGCACCTTCCCCTTGTCACTGTTCTCCTTTCTCCTTCCAGCCCGTGCCTCTCCTGGAGGAGAATGGTGGGCGTCTTCTTCCTGCCGTTTGTCTTACCAGCTTTTGCTCCTCGGTTTAAGCAGGAAGAGAGCCTCATGCTTGGAACAGCGCATCCGCCCTGGCCCAGGTTTGCCGGAGAGCCGCGTTCCCGGGGAGGGAGGGGAGCGACCTCACCTTTCTTGGAGAAAATCATACCGCGATTGTGCACAGAACACGTCCTACTCACAAGAACTACTTCTTTTCGCCAGGGTTTCAGCCGTCCCTCCGAGCCCTCTCCCGAGTTCTCTCTCCCTTTCCACCTTCTTTCCCTCGCCCGGCCCCTCCAGGTTTAACTGGTCTCATCTGACCCCTCTGGAGCTGAAGAATCGATCTGTGGGACTCGGAACTGCAAGCACAGGTCGGGGTAAGCCCCACTTCACGCTGGAGGGCCACAAGTTCCTCATCTTCGGGGGCTCCATCCACTATTTCCGGGTGCCCAGGGAGTACTGGAGGGACCGCTTGCTGAAGCTGAAGGCCTGTGGCTTCAATACTGTCACCACGTGAGTGCTGGCCCCTCACCTCCTGGGTCTTGTTCCCCTACAAGCGCAGGGTAGCAAGAGCCTCCGATTTTGGGGGCCCAGAGTGAGGACTTACCTTCCGCACAGTCGTTTCCAGCACATACGTTTTATGCTTGAGCGTCCAGTTGTCACTTACGTCTCATGCTGAGCTTGCTCTGTGATCAAAAACTTGGATGGGGTTAGTGGGAGAATCTCAAGGGAGAAGGTTATTTCCTCAGGAATCTGTCTGTCTAGTGAAGGAACACCAGGAGCCCTTGGGAGCACTCAGTTTAATGACAGAAGCTTAAGGCACACCTACGGATAAATATGTACTTACAGATACATGCATGTTTTTAAAGCAAACCTTTTTTTTTTTTTTTTTTTTTTTTTTGAGACAGGGTCTCGCTCTGTTTGTTGCTCGGGCTGGAGTGCAGTAGCCCGATCTCAGCTCATGGCAGCTTCTACTTCTCTGGCTCAGGTGATGCTCCTGCCTCAGCCTCCTGAATAGCTGGGGCCACAGGTGCATGCCACCACACCAGGCTAGTTTTTTGAATTGTTTGTAGACATGGAGTTTCTCGCCTTGTGCCTGGACTGGTCTCAAACTCCTGGACTCAAGCAATTCACCCTTTAAAAGGAAACACCATGGTTGTCCTCATACCTGTATACAACTGACCAGCCACCCTATATGACCATAGGAATGCAAAACTGCTCCAGAATCAGAGGCCCCGTCCTCCTGAGGGCCTGCCTCCACCATCTTGTGGCAAGCTTACCATCACACTCACTGTAAAGGAGAAGATGCTTAGAGGGCCCTGTGCCTTATTGCAGAGCTGGTATTGAAGGGTGAATTTGAAGCTGAGAGGCAGTAAATTGACAACTGGTTCATTTAAAATGCAAATAATTTAATCAGAAATAATCGTTGAGTTTTATTGAGAGCTGCTACTGCATCTCTTGGGGGGACAATGTGGTTTTTCTTCACCCTTCTTTTGAATTGCTGAATTACGTCGACAATTTTTCTCATAGCAGCCATATGGTTCTGGTATAAACTCTGCTTGGCTCTGAGGTATGCACACATTACATACACACAGATTGTTAGACTTTATTTGCTAGTGTTTTATTTCAAATGTGTTTATGATTATAAGCAAAACTGATTTAAAATTTTATTTTGTTGGTATTCTTGTCCAGTTTTGAATCAATCTTACAATAAGCTCATAAAGTGAGTAAATCTTCTTTTCTTAGTTATTGAAAATATTTTGCACAAGAATTATCTTTACCCTGAAAGTTTTTTAAGATTCACCTGTAAACTCTGTGACTACTATCTTTTGTGGTTTGTGAGGTGAAGGATTTTGGGACAACATAGCTCTTTGAATGGTTAACTCACGTCCTCTATTTCTTCTTGAATACATCCTGCTTTCTCCCCTCCCTTCCTTCCTTCCTTCCTTCCTTCCTTCCTTCCTTCCTTCCTTCCTTCCTTCCTTCCTTCCTTCCTTCCCTCCCTCCCTCCCCCCCCCCCCCCCCCCCCCCCCCCCCCCTCCCCCCCCCCCCCCTCCCCCCCCCCCCCCCCCCCCCCCCCCCCCCTCCCCTCCCCTCCCCTCCCCTCCCCTCCTCTCCTCTCCTCTTTCTAATGGAGTCTCACTCTGTCACCCAGGCTGCAGTGCAGTGGTGCAATCTCTGCTCACTGCAACCTCCACCTCCCAGGTTCAAGTGATTCTCCTGCCTCAGCCTCCTAAGTTGCTGGGATTACGGTGCGCACCACCATGCCTAGCTAATTTTTGTATTTTTAGTAGAGATGGGGTTTCACCATATTGGTCAGGCTGGTCTCAAACTCCTGACCTCAGGTGATCCTCCTGCCTCGGCCTCCCAAAGTGCTGGGATTACAGGTGTTGAGCCACCGCGCCTGGCCTTCTTTCTTCTTTTGAACCCACTGGGACTTAAGAAATTTTTCCTTTCTTTCCTGTACTCACTTGGAAGTTACATACATCGCATTGTGTATTTTGGCTGTTTTTTGTTTTTTTCTTAATCTTATATATTTCCATTTAGTCTTTTCAAATAGCTAGCTTGTAGCTTTGTTAATACTCTGTATATTTTGGATTTCTATGTCACAGTTTCTGAGTTAAATGTAATTTCCTTTTCTCTGCTTTATTTAGTACCTTCTCTTCTCTGTCCTCCTCAGTTTCCTCCTCCTCCTTCTTTTTCCCTGAGTTAATATTTAGCTTCTTTTACTTCCAGTCTTTTGTGTTTTCTAATATATTCATTCAAAGATATGAATGTTTCTTTGAGTGTTGCTTTGGTTACATAGCCCACATATTGTGCTATACAGTGCTTTGAATGTCATTTATTTTCAAATATTTCCTAAGTTTTGATGTTGTTTCCATTAGCTATTTGGGAATATGCTTTCTGTTTTATTTATTTTAATTTTTACTATTTTTAACTGTGATTTTTAAATTTATTTGCATTTGTCTTGGGATCATGGACTATATGATACAGATTTTTGGAATTTGCTGAGATTTACTTTGTGACATAGTACATGCAACTGTTTTCATGCAAAGTTTACAACTGTTTCATGCATTTTAAATTCTGGTCTTTTAAATTTTACATTCTTTTTTCATACTTAGTTCTATAGATGCACTTTTTTTTTTTTTTTTGAGACGGAGTCTGGCTCTGTCACCCAGGCTAGAGTGCAGTGGCGCAATCTTGGCTCACTGCAAGCTCCACCTCCCGGGTTCATGCCATTCTCCTGCCTCAGCCTCCCGAGTAGCTGGGACTACAGGCGCCCGCCACCGCACCCGGCTAATTTTTTTTTTTTTGTATTTTTAGTAGAGATGGGGTTTCACTGTGTTAGCCAGGATGGTCTCGATCTCCTGACCTCGTGATCCGCCCGTCTCGGCCTCCCAAAGTGCTGGGATTAGATGCACTTTTTAAGGGAATGTAAATGCTCTATCTGTTGGCTACTGGGTTCTCCTTATTTATTAAATGCAGCCTGTTAATTATGCAGTTCAAATCTATATCCTTACAAGTTTTTTTTTTTTTTTTTTTTTTTCTGCTTATTTTCTTTGTTTCTCAGAGGGGTACTTTAAATCTTTTCGCTGTGATGGTAACTGATGTATCCATGTCCTCTCTAATTCAGTCAGCTTCTCCTTTGCTTACAACAAGCTACGTTGTAACTGACGACATACAACAAGCTCTGCTGTTGAGCTCATAGAAGGCCATGAGTAGTATGTCTTCTTGGTGGTTCATACAGTCACTTCTACAATGTATTGTCAAAAATCTCTGCACTGCACAAAACTGTGTAATAAAAACCACAGGGCTTAGAGGAAACGCGATGTTAAGGGGCATAACACTCAAACATGTTGCCAGTGGCACAAAAAAAGACCGTTGCCTAGCGAACTATGCCTAGTACACCTAATAAAATTTTTACTCATAGCCAATCTTATGGGGGCCCTTCTTGCTAAGGTCTAAAGGTAGTACCCTTACTAGATTTACTGTGTCTCCACTATCTTCACAGAAACTCCTCATTCGTTCTTATTTTGACTAACTCATAGCAATACTGTGTAAGGCAGATGTAGACATTTTTGTTTTTGTTCTCTTCTTTAGTTTATACTTTTAATGGGTGTTACAATAGGGCAGTGAGTGGAAGAATTTATATATAAATCCCAAGAAATCTAGCATCACAGGATAATTGGCACCTTGAACCACAATTGGATAATAGAGCAAGAAACTATTAAAGATAGTCATGGTTAGTGTAACAGAGGTTTAATTTCCATTGGAAACTTCAACTTATTTCAAAATAGTTGCATTGTTTTGGCCTGGATTTGGGACAGTCCTAACAATGTGGAGGAAGAAATAAGAAGATACTCATCATACTTCCCTTTCACCTCTTCTAGCTATGTTCCGTGGAACCTGCATGAGCCAGAAAGAGGCAAATTTGACTTCTCTGGGAACCTGGACCTGGAGTGCGTGGTGTTGCTGCTTCTGTGACCTGGCCAGGGGCAGGGGCAGAGAGGTGGCTGGGAGGGACCTGGGTCTGGAGTCCTGTTCTAGGACTGCGAGAGGACTTGCACCCGGGACCTAGATGCTCCCCAGTCATGACCTGCTGGGCCTGCAGCCTTTGGGCCCCACTTCTCCACTGCAGCCCAGAGGGGCAGAAGACTCCGGGAGCCGCCCGACTCTGCATGGGGTCCGGCTGCCTGGGCTGGGGCAGGGCGGCCCCTCTAGGCTAACAAGGCTGTTGGGTCAGGTTCACTGTTAAGACCCCTGTGCCCTGGCTGTCACCCTTCTTCCTCAGGCCCCCAGTGGGGCTGTGCAGAGGCTCTGAGGCTGGGAGCAGCTCAGGCCACCACCCTGATGCGGGAGTCCCCGCTCTTTGCGTGGGGCCGAGCTGTCCCTTCGCCCCACCGGGCAGCTCCTCCACCCTGTGACGTGTGTGGCCCCCACCCGGCCTCATCCTGGGCCGTCATGGGAGGGGCTGACGATGTGGACCTCCCTAGGGCCTTCGTCCTGATGGCTGCGGAGATCGGGCTGTGGGTGATTCTGCGTCCAGGCCCCTACATCTGCAGTGAGATGGACCTCGGGGGCTTGCCCAGGTAAGCGGGGCTGCAGTCCCAGAGTTGTGGTTCTAACGAAGTATTTGCTTTCGTGAATTTCAATCTAGTAACAAGGAAAGTAACTTTATTCACGGAGCTGATGAGGGGTGTGCCGCCCCAAGCCACGCACCGCGCCTGCGTTGTCTGTGAAGCCTGCGGTACTGCGGTCAAGAGGGTGTGCGCGGGGAGAGGTGGCCACAAGAGGCTCCCACTCTTCTTTCCCCACACAGGAGGGGCTGTGGCCCCCTCTGTCCTTCTCAAAATGCCCTGGGAAGAAAGGGACCGGAAGCCTTAAGGCCTGCAAGGGAAGGTTCTGACGACTCTGGGCTTGTTTTGAAAACTTCTGATCTTTCGTTTATTTTGTGAGGGGAGGGCTGCCTTTCCATGCAGTGAGACCACCCTCAGCTCCCCTCCCATCCCTCTTGCTTTTCTTTGCCTTGTTCTCGCCTCTGTGATTCTGGCCCCCAGCCCAGACTGCTGAGGGTCAGGGTGAGACTCCAAGACTGCTGTCTGCTACCCCTGTGGTGGGCAGGGCTTCCTGGGGAATCTGGGGCTCTGCCTCGGGTGAGCACTTCTGCACCTCAGAGTCAGATGAGGCCTTTGCTTTCTCTCCAGGATGAGTCCCTCCTCCCATCTAGCTCAGGGGCAGAGAAAGCCTGAGCTGAGGGGAGTGGAGTTTTCGGGAATCAGTGACTCCCGGCATAGCTTGACTGGAGGCCTGCCTGGTACTTCCCCAGTGACCTGGAGAAGGCAGAGTGTCATTGGCACGTAGGCTCCTGCCCTGAGCCTGAAGCCTTAGCTCTTAGTGGAAATGTGACAGTGTGCCTAAGGAAATTTTTCTGTCCCCAAGAATTTTTTTTTTTTTTTTGAGATGGAGTCTTGCTCTTGTCACCCAGGCTGGAGTTCAGTGGCATGATCTTGGCTCGCTTCAACCTCCGCCTCCCAGGTTCAAGCGATTCTCCTGCCTCAGCCTCCTGAGTAGCTGGGATTATAGGCGCCTGCCACTACACCCGGCTAATTTTTGTACTTTTAGTAGAGACGGGTTTCGCCATGTTGGCCAGACTGGTCTCGAACTCCCGACCTCAGGTGATCCGCCCACCTCGGCCTCCCAAAGTGCTGGGATTATAGTCATGAGCCACCACGCCCGACCGAAAAATGTTTTCAATAAACTGAAAAAGAATGGAGAGTGTTCAACAAAAGGCAGAAGAAAAAGCTCTTTAAGACATGACTGTAAGAGACTTGACAGGCCAGACCCTCAGTGAGACCAAATGGAGCTGAAGGCACTTCTGAAGTTGCGAAGTGCTTTGGAGGTGGAGGCGGGTGTTTGCTTTCAAATCCCAAAAGTCAATGAGAATGGTCTGAAAGTCTCACGAGGCACAGATCTTTCCAGGACCCCTGAGTGCTCCAGGACCACAGGTGTGAGGCAGCTGGGCAGACGTGCTGGGCGAGCTGGGGCAGCTCTGAGCCCTCTCCTCCTTCCCTCTCCCATCCTGTCTCAGACCCTGAGCCTGCCCCTCTCTCCCCCAGCTGGCTCCTGCAAGACCCCCAGTTACTGTTGAGGACAACCAACAAGGGCTTCACTGAAGCAGTTGAGAAGTATTTTGACCACCTGATTCCCAGAGTGATTCCTCTCCAGGTAAAGCCAAATTATCTTCTGCATCTTTCTTACATGCACTTTCCTGATCGGGCAGTAGAAGGTCGTGGGACCCACATACAAGTGGTGGCATAACCCTGAGGCAGGAGGGAGGTGGGAATATGGATGGGATTGGCGGGGAAGCAGATGCATTTGTAGGTTTGAGGGCTCAAGTTTAAGTAGCTAGTGTGAGAAACAGGGAAAACTGTGGCAGTTACGTGTCTGCAACGCACTGGGGATGGTGGCTCCCACAGCAGCCAAGTGACCCAGCAGACTAACTCCAGTGCCGGAGCAGAGCGCACAGACCGCGGGGGCCGTGGATCAGAGCCTGCCACACCAGCCGTGCAGCCTTTAGCAGCAAGCCCAGAGACTCCAAGCTTTTGCCCCAAATAGCGTCACTCTTTAACCCTCCTCTGCTTGTCTCTCAGTACCGCCAGGGAGGTCCTGTCATCGCGGTGCAAGTGGAGAATGAATATGGCTCATTCGATAAGGATAAAACCTACATGCCGTATCTCCACAAGGTAAGAGGGCCTTGGTTTGGCCCCATGTTTACATGCCTCCTTCCTCCATCTGTCTCTTTTCTGGTGTGCTTTTCTGATTCCTGGATGCATAGGTGATCGGGCTGGGCACTGTGCATTCTGAGAATACTGGCCTGTGAACACGAGATGCTGAGGGGTGCTGGCCCACTGCGTGGCTGAAAGTTTGCATATAACTTTTGACTCCCTCAAAATGTAGTCACTAATAGCCTACTGTTGACTGGAAGCCTTACCGATAATAAACAGTTGATTAATGCAGGTTTTGTATATCTATTATATACTGTATTCTTACAATAAAGTAAGCTTCAGAAAAGAAAATGTTACTAAGGAAATCATAAGTAACAGAAAATATATTGACTTCTCATTAAGCAGAAATGGATCATGGTAAAGGTCTTTATCCTCATCATCTTCATGTTAAGCAGGCTGAGGGGGAGGAAGAGGTGGAGGAGGAGGTGTTGGTTTTGCTGACTCAGGGGTGGCAGAAGAGGTGGAGGAGGAGGAGTTGGTTTTGCTGACTCACGGGTGGCAGAAGAGGTAGAGGAGGAGGAGTTGGTTTTGCTGACTCAGGGGTGGCAGAAGAGGTGGAGGAGGAGGGGTTGGTTTTGCTGACTCAGGGGTGGCAGAAGAGGTGGAGGAGGTGGCAGGGGAGGCAGGGGAGTTAACTTGTATTGGAAAAATTCCGAGTATAAGTGGATCCGCACAGTTCAAACCTGTGTTGTTCAAGGTTCAACTGTAGATCAAGTTCATTTTCTCTGTGAATGCACAGCAGTCAGGACAATCGCTATGTACCTAAATAACTTTATTAGAAGACAGAACGTGGCGTTAAAGGGCTATTCCTTTCTGCTTCCTATCTCTGTGACCCACGGTTCTCATTAAAGCTGGGGTTGGTGAATCTTCCTCCACTGTAAATAACACTTCAAGAATTTAGTGATATGACTCTCAGCTTGAAGCTTTCTGGCCTGTAAGACAAACGTCATCTCTTCTGTCCCCCTTGCTTCTTCATGGAGGGATGTCTCAGGCCAGGGAATAACTGCAGTTCTGCCTGCTGTCCTTCCTGGTGGCTCAGCCGCTGCTGGCCCCTGACTTCCCACATTCAGGAAGCTGCTGAGAGTTCAGTCTCAACTGAACCCCTCCTTGGGCTGCCAAGCAGGGTGCAGGGCTGCACGGTGGGCCTGAGCCGTCCTGACTCCGCCCTTGCCTCTGCAGCAGTGTCTGCACAGAGACCTCTGTCTAGAGGCTGGGAGGGGAAGAGGAGGGGTCCCCAGCTGGGCAAAGTGGGGAGGAGGGCGGGGCTGGACTTCATCCACCTGCTGGCTCTTGCCCTACAGCTGTGGCTTCTGGAGTTGGGCAAGGTCAGAGAGTAATTTCCCTCCCTAACTTTTCCCAGGGGCTGCATGGCTGCTCTGAATCAGTTGTATTCAGCCAGCATTGTTTGTTCTTGGTTTTAAAATTTACTGGCTGGGCTCCGTGGCTCATGCATACAATCCAGTACTTTGGGAGGCTGCTGCGGGCGGATCACCTGAGGTCAGGAGTTTGAGACCAGCCTGGCCAATGTGGCAAAACCCTGTCTCTACTAAAAATGCAAAAATTAGCTGGGCGTAGTGGTGCCTGCCTGTAATCCCAGCTACTCGGGAAGCTGAGGCGGGAAAATCACTTGAACCTGTGAGATGGAGTTTGCAGTGAGCTGAGATTGTGCCACTGGACTCCAGCCTGGGCGACAGAGTGAGACTCGTCTCAAAAAAAAAAAAAAAAAAAGGAAAAAAAAAGAAAAAAAAATGACCATTCAACTCCAATCCCAGGCCCAGATGTGGCTCAATGAACACAGGAGACGCACAGCCGGGCCCTGGCTATCTGGCCTCGTAACCATGGTTTTTCGGATGAGATCTCCCCATCCCTGCAGCCATGGCAGGGTTCCTTGTTCCCCTTGACAATGTTAGGCAGCACCTGAGCTTGGTGAAGTCCCTGATGGTTCTCAGGACCCCACAGCTGCAGCCTCTCCCCTTCCAGCACAGAGTGATTCCCTAGTCTTCTTCCTCTTCTTTCAGTGACTTAGATCCTCTTCCAGGGCATTTCCTGGTAAACTCAGCCCATTGTTCCTGGAGGCTTTGGTTATGGGGTGTCAGAACCCACACTTGACCGATTTTAGGGTCATTCCCCACAAAAATCACCAGGTTGAGACAGACAGTGATTTCCCCGAATTTACTAAGTTGCAGAAGGTCAGACTCTGAATTCAAATTCTTGTCTAGCTCACATCTCACCCAACTGAACCATGCTCTGTTTAGTTTCCAATTTCCTCATGTAGTCGTCCCTTGGCATCCATGGAGGATTGATTCCAGGGCCCCCATGGACACGAAATTGGTCGGTGTTCAAGTCCTTGACATAAAATGGTGTGGCGTTTCCATGCAACCTATGCACATCCTCCCATATGCTTTTTTTTTTTTTTTTTTTTTTTCCTGAGACAGTTTTACTCTGTCACCTAGGCTGGTATGATCTCGGCTCATTGCAACCTCCGCCTCTGGTTTCAAGCAATTCTTGTGACTCAGCCTCTCAAGTAGCTGGAATTACAGGTATGCACCACCACACCTGGCTAATTAGAGACAGGGTTTCACCATATTGGCCAAGCTGGTCTTAAACTCTTGACCTCAAGTGATCTGCCTGCCTCAACCTCCCAAACTGCTGGCATGAGCCACTGTGCCTGGCCTCTCCCATATACTTTAACTTATCTCTAGATTACTTCTAATACCCAATACAATGTAAATGCTACATAAATAGTTGCTATATATTACTCTTTAGGAAATAATGATTGGAAAAATGCCTGTACATGTTCAGTACAGATGCAACTAAGAAATATATTTTTGGCCAGGTGTGGTGGCTCACACCTGTAATTTGAGTACTTTGGGAGTCCAAGGCAGGAGGCTCACTTCAGGCCAGGAGTTTCAGACCAGGCTGGGCAACATAGTGAGACCCTGTTTCTATAAAAGAAAAAAAATATATGGTGGCGTGTGTCTGTAGTCCTAGCTACTCAGGAGACTGAGGTGGTAAGATGGCTTGAATCCAGGAGTTTGAGGTTATAGTGAGCTATCATCATGCCACTGCACTCCAGCCTGGAGAAACACAGCAAGACCTTGTATTGGGGGAAACCCCACCCCCGATATTCAACGTGGGTTATTTTCTATTTCCCTAAGCGTTGGCTGGTCTGAGAAATAAAGGGAAAGAGTACAAAAGAGAGAAATTTTAAAGCTGGGTGTCCGGGGAAGACATCACATGTCGGAATTTCTGTGATGCTCCCTGAGCGGTAAAACCAGCAAGTTTTTATTAGTGATTTTCAAAACGGGAGGGAGTGTAGGAATAGGGTGTGGGTTACAGAGATCACATGCTTCACAAGGTAATAAAATATCACAAAGCAAGTGGAGGCAGGGCGAGATCACAGGACCACAGGATGGGGTGAAATTAAAATTGCTAATGAAGTTTCAGGCACCCATTGTCATTGATAACATCTTATCAGGAGACAGGGTTTGAGAGCAGACAACCTGTCTGACCAAAATTTTATTAGGTGGGAATTTCCTCGTCCTAATCAGCCTGGGAACGCTACAGGAGACCGGGGCTTATTTCATCTCTTTGGCTTCGACCTTAAAAGATAGCCAGCTCCACATGGGCTGTTCATAGGCCTACCCTAAGGGTGCATTCTCTTTCTCGGAGATGTTCCTTGCTGAGAAAAAGAATTCAGCGATATTTCTCCTATTTGCCTTTGAAAGAAGAGAAATAGGGCTCTGTTATATCCGGTTCACCGGCAGTCAGAGTCCAAGGCCATCTCCCTTGTTCCCTGAACATTGCTGTTATCCTGTCCTTTTTTCAAGGTGCCCAGATTTCATATTGTTCAAACAAACATGCTCTACAAACAATTTGTGCAGTTAACGCAATCATCACAGGGTCCTGAGGCGACATACATCTTCTTCAGCTTACAAAGATGATGGGATTACGAGATTAAAGTAAAGACAGGCATAGGAAATCACAAGGGTGTTGACTGGGGAAGTGATAAGTGTCTATGAAATCTTCACAATTTATGTTCAGAGATTGCAGTAAAGACAGGCGTAAGAAATTATAAAAGTATTAATTTGGGGAACTAATAAATGTTCATGAAATCTTCACAATTTATGTTCTTCTGCCGTGGCTTCAGCCGGTCCCTCCGTTCAGGGTCCCTGACTTCCCGCAACAACCCTGTCTGTAAAAAAAAATTTAAAATTAAAAAAGTAAAAACATTTCTGACTGTGATTGCAGAATTCATGGATGCAAAACCCATGAGTATGGGGAGCTGTATGTATTTCTTTTTTCGCAATGGAATGAGGGAATTAGGTTCATTTTGGTCAATTTTCTCAACAGGCTCTGCTGAGAAGAGGGATTGTGGAGCTTCTCTTGACCTCCGATGGTGAGAAAAATGTGCTGAGCGGCCACACCAAAGGAGGTACACATTTAGAGTTAGTTCACAGGAGAACAAGGCTTTCAGCTAGCCCGTGTAAATCTTGAACACACCCCAGAGAAAAACAAGTGCATCTTGATGCCTCCTTTTCCCGTGTCCAGGACTCAAGGTCAAGGTTCAGGGCCGCTCACCAGCCCCCTCTCTTGGCCTTGCTCCTGCTGTCTTTAATCACAGCAGCACTGGAGCTCCTGTGTCCTCAGGACGCCTTTCCGTCTCCCATAGATTTTCTGTGGTAAGGAATCTGCATTAGTACTGGGCCTGGCTTGGGGTCAGGGCCGTCTCCACTAACGTGGGAAACCACAGGGAGAACCAGAAGACGGGTGTTGTGTCAGGAACCCCGCCTAGACCCTGTCCCGTTCCTGGGATCCTACCGCCCAAGGCTCCGTGTGGACACTTATGAGATCCTAGAGAATTAAGTGGCAGGAAGATTCAGGACGGACTCATCAGATGGCAATAGTGAGGGACACGCCCGGGTGTGAGCAGGCCGGTGGGGCGCGCTGCTGCCGGCGGCTGCCCTTCTGCCTCCTTAGCAGCGGCTTTTCCACCGGAGCGGAGCGTGGTACACTGGAACACGTGCTGAGCTTGGGGCCAGGCAGCTGCGTTCCGTTTCTGGTCTAATCATGTCAGGGAGCCTTGGCCTGGCTCACTTCCCTGCACAGAGTGTAGCTAATTTTAACACTGAGTGTCCGTGCAAGTGTCAGGGATGTGGCGATGGCCATGGCAGCCCTTTGGACGTGGCAGAGTGCCATCCGGGCAGCCTCTGGCCATCCTCACTGCTGAGCCTGCGCTCCTCCCGCGTGCGTCTGGGCTGGGGGGGTTCCCTCCTTCCCGCGGCGTCTGGGTGGGGGCAGGGGGCGGGTTCTTTCCTTCCCCGTGCCTGGGCGGGGGCGGGGGTCGGGTTCCTTCCCTCCCGCGTGCGTCTGGGCGGGAGGCGGGTTCTTTCCCCCCTGGGCGCGTCTGGGTGGGGGCAGGGGGCGGGTTCTTTCCTTCCTCGTGCGTGGGGGCGGGGGGGGGGGCGGGGGCGGGGGCGGGGGCGGGTTCCTGTTCCTGCTCCTTCCCTTTCCTGAAGGTGCTTGTCTCGCGCCTCAGCCGGGCTTCTCTGTTCTCTATGCAGTGTTGGCCGCCATCAACTTGCAAAAAGTTCAGCGGAATACCTTCAGTCAGCTTCATAAAGTCCAGGTAAGACGTTTCAGACGGGCGGGTTTTACAGCTGCTCCTGCCATGACCGCCCTCGCCTGGGTAACTGGTGTTCCGTGAAAACAGCTTTGACAGGAAGACCGCAGGTTTCCACCTGGGTCCTCGGCAGGTTCCAGGCCATGTCGGGAGCCTTTGGGGTGGGGAGGGAGGAGGGGAGCCGCTTGTTCGCCTCCGCCTGTGGAGCCCGTGGAGATGAGTGGGCAGGGCGAGGGGTGACGGGGTCAGCGGGAGACGTTCCTGCCTGTGCCGTGTGAAGACGGAGCTGAGAGGGCTGCGCGTTGCTGATGGAGGCCTCCCAGGGAGTTCTCGTGGGGTTAGCCTGTCCCGCCACAGCATACACATCGTGGGAAGGGACGAGGGTTGTACCTGCGCTGATTTACCAGACGCGGATTGAGCGGCTCCCGCCTTCCTCTCGGTGGGTGACCTCCCATGACAGTTACAAAGAAGGACAAGCCACAGCCCCGCCTGGGGAGCACGTCTGTGGGTTCTCTACAGACTAGAGTGCGCGCTTCAGGACCAGGCCTGGTCACAGCCTCCTCTGCTTACCACCCTTTCCTGGTTGTCCTTTGTGCCCAGGATGCCATCCAGCCGCCACGCCTTGGCCCACTGGGCCGCTGTGAGCCTCTGCCTCCGCTCCCAGCCCCGCTACCCCGCCCCTGAGGGCCTGCCTTCCATTCCCCCACACTGTGGTCCCCGGCCTAGCCAGAGACTCTGCAGCTCCAGAGCTCTGTCCCCAGCCTTCACCTATATTGTAAATAAGAGTCATGAACCTTATTTCGTTTTTTCATCAATTTCTTTTTTTTCTTGAGACAGTCTCTTGTTGCCCAGGTTGGAGTGCAATGGCATGATCTCGGTTCACTGCAACTTCCGTCTCCTTGGTTCAAGCGATTCTCCCGCCTCAGCCTCCCGAGTAGCTGGGATTACAGGCACCTGCCACCACACCTGGCTAATTTTTGTACTTTTTAGTAGAAATGAGGTTTCACCGTGTTGGCCAGGTTGGTCTCAAACTCCTGACCTCAGGTGATCCACCCGCCTTGGCCTCCCAGAGTGCTGAGATTACAGGCTGAGCGACCGCGCCTGGATTTTCATCAATTTCTGTACAGTTTCCAACTTGGTGAAAGGCAAGGGCCCTGCCAGAGCTCTGTGGATCTGTGGCTATCTCTAGTTTTTCAATACCTTTGCTAAGTCTTTTTCTTCCTTTTTGTTCTTTTTTTCTTGTCACTTTCTTATAACAACTTAATTGAAATCTCATTTGTACACCATTAAATTCATCCATTGTAAGCATGTAATTCAACATACAGATTTCCACAACCATCACCACAATCCAAAATGTTCATTGCATTTAATGCTTGTTGCAGTTAATCCCGTCTCCAGCCCTGGGCAGCCACCAATCTGCTTTCTAGTTCTATAAATTTACCTTTTCTAGACATTTCACATAAGTGGGCTCAGGCAGTATTTAGTCTTTTGCATCTGGCTTCTTTCATACAGGGTGGGGCTTTTTTGGGGTTTCTTTGAGGTCCATTTATGCATGTTGTAGCACGATTCAGTGCTTCATTTCCTTCGATAGCTGACTGGATTGTGCTTGGCTGTCATATATGTACAGTCATAGTCAAAACCAAAGGCCGTCCTGCTTTAGTGTGTTAATATGGTGACTGCGGTTTTTGCATGTTGAACCAGTCTTTCATTCCTGGAATGAATCTCATCTGATTGTGAGCTATTACCATTTTCTATTTTGCCAGATTCAGTTTATTCATATTTTTGTTGAGAATTTTCGCTTCCATGTTTATGAAGGACATTGGTCTTTGGTTTTCTTTTCTTAAAAGGTATTTGTTTGGTTTTAGAATTAGGATAATGCTGGCCTCATAAAATGAATTTGGAAGTATGTGTAGGAACCTAGTTTTTAGATTCCTTCCTGGGCAGGGGTCGTCACGAGAGACCACTCGACACGGAAGTCACAGTGGAGAGATTTATTGCTAGCGCGCTAGGGTCCCATGTCCGAGGTTGGCCACAGGACCCCGAATGCTTGTTACAGACAGTTTATAAAGGCAAAAAACCACAAAATTTTACAAAGCTTGAGGCGCAAGATGATTGGAGCAGGTTATGGCCTGAGCGAGATGTCTTACTTTAATTGGTTGGTTTGAACCTGGTTTGAACCCGCGCGGGGTATTTCCCGGACTTGTTCTTCTGTTTGAGTTCCAGGAATATGGGTGGGTGTTTTAGATAGCCACACGGACATCAGGCGGGTGCTTTAGATGGCCACCTGGTCATTGGGTGGGTGCTTTTAGATAGCCACCTGGTGTGGCTTTTCTAAGCTTCTAAGTTTCTAAGTCTAAAAGTCTAAAGGTTTCTAAAGGTTTCTAAGACTTTCTTTTTAAAGTCTATAGGTCTCTAAGTTTCTAAAGGTTTCTAAGTTTCTAAATCTATTTTCATATGCTCTCCTTTTCTGTTTTCTGGAACAGATAGTGTAGAATTATTAGTGTTTCTTAATGTTCGGTAACTTTCATTACTGAAACTACCTGGACCTGAAGTTTTCCTTTTTAGAAGAATTTTAACTTGCAGTTCAATTTCTCTAATAGATACAGGAAAATTTAAGTTATTTCTTCTTGAGTGAGTTGTAGTAGTTTATGTCTTTCAAGGATTTGTTCTACTCATTTCATTCTATTCCATCTAAATTTTTGAATTCATGGGCATAGAGTTGTTGGTGATAATCCCTTGTTATCCTCTTGATGTGTTTGTTGTCATTAGTGATGACTCCTCTTTCAGTCCTAATGTGGCTAATTTTGTGTATTTATTTTGGTTAGTGTGGCTAGAAGTTTATAATTTTTATTGATCTTTGCAGAGAATCAGCTTTCGGCTTGATTCTGATTCCCTGTTATTTTTGTGTCTTTAACTTCCTTGGTTTCTGCTCTGAACTTTGAGCATTTTGTCCCTTCTGCTGCCTTCGGATTGCATTTGTTCTTTCACTTGGTCTTTCTGGTGGAAATTTAGCTTGGAGTTTTCTTCTCTTCTAATATAAGCATTTATGCTATACATTTCTCTGTATGTACTAGTTTTTCTGCATCTCATCAATTTTGATGGGCTGTGTTTTCATTGAGTTCAAAACATCAAAACATTTTTAAAAATTTCCCTTGAGACTCTTTATTCCACGCATCAGTCGGGAGTGTGCTGTTTCATTTTTGAATCTTAGGGGATTTTCCAGCTAGTATTCCATAATTTATTTCTAGTTTAATACTGTTAAGGCCTAAGAACACAGTTGTATAACTTCTGTTCTTTTACATTTGTTAAGGTTTGTTTCATGGATCATAATATGGTCATTCTTGGTGAATGTTCCATGTACATTTGAGAGTAATGTGTAGTTTACATCTATTTATAAATTCGCATCAGGTCAAGCTAATTGATGATATTGGCCAAGTAATCACTATCCTTACTGATTTTCTGCCTACTCGTTCCATCAATTATTATGAGAGGAATGTTGACATCTCTAAATATAATCATAGATTGTTTATTTTTCCTTTAGGCCTATTAGTTTTTGTCTCTGTTTTGAGGTGCATTCCCATTTAGGATTATGTTATTTTGTTGGAAGATTGGCTGCTGTATCATTATATAATGTCCGTCTCCCTTGTTCTGAACTCTATTTTGATGTAAATATAGCAACTAGCTTTCTTTTAATTAGTATTTGCATGGCATGTCTTTATCCTTTTGCTTTTTATATACCTTAAAATCTATATTTAAAATGGATTTTTTGTATACATCGTATATTTACATATTGCTTTAAAAAATTCAATTTGACAGTTGTTGTATTTTAAGATAATGTGGCTACATCATTCACACTTAAAGTAGTTATTGAGATGGTTTGATTGAAATTTACCTCTTTGCAAATTCTTTTCTTCTTTGTACTTTGTTTCTTGTTCTTTTTTTCTCCCTTTTCTGGAGCTAATTGATAATTTTTTGATTCCATTTTATCTCTTCTGTAGACTTACTACTTATGTCAGTTTAAAAAATTGTAGCTGTCGACTTAGAATATAAAATATAGGTCGAGCACGGTGGCTCACGCCTGTAATCCCAGCACTTTGGGAGGCTGAGGTAGGCAGATCATTTGAAGTCAAGGGTTTGAGACAAGCCTGACCAACATGGTGACACCCTGTCTCTACTAAAATACAAAAATTAGCTGGGCATGGTGGTGGGTGCCTGTAATCCCAGCTACTCGGGAGGCTGAGGCAGGAGAATTGCTTAAACCTGGGAGGCAGAGGTTGCAGTGAGCTGAGTTCGTGCCATTGCATTCCAGCCTGGGCAATAGAGGGAGACTCCATCTCAAAAAAAAAAAAAAAAAAGAAAGAAATATATATACACGTTTAAAAATTAACCTGAAACTACTAATCACACTAAGTGTAGATAGTATTAGGATTGTACAATAGTATCTTCATAATTCCCCACTTTAAAGATGTTTCTTCATTATTGTTTCTATTTCCATGGTTTCTGATGAGAAGTCAGTATTAATCCTTATCTTTTTTTTTTTTTTTTGGTCTTTTTTCTTCTGGCTACCTTTAGAATTTTCTGTTTGTCTTTAGTTTTCAGAAGTTTCAGTGTAATATGCCTATATGTGGTTTGTTTCTTAAAATTTATCATACTTGGTGTTCCAGGAGATTCTTGGATCGGTGGTTTGGTGAAATTTTCCAAACATTAAGTAAGAAATAATAAAAATTCTACACAATGTGTTCCAGAAAATAGAAAAGGGAGAGAATACTTCTAAACTCATTTTATGAGGTCAGCATTTTCCTAATTCCAAGATCAAATGAAAGCAACTGAAGAAAAGAAAACCAAAGACCAATTTCCCTTTTGAACATGAAAGCAAAAAAAAAAAAAAAAAAAAAAAAATTCTCAACAAAGGATGAGCAAATTGAATCCAGCAATATGTAAAATGATAATACATTACTGATATGGTTTGGCTGTGTCCCCACCCAAATCTCAACTTGAATTGTATC